TAATACAGAAGTTCTGGCTAGAACACTTGGAGGTAAGGTTGGGGAGCTTCCAACTACTTACCTAGGTATGCCTTTGGGAGCTAAAAGCAAGTCCAAAGGCATATGGAATGGGGTCCTGGAGAAATGTGAAAGAAACTCACCAACTGGAAGAGTCAGTACTTGTCCTTGGGAGGAAGATTGACTTTAATTAACAGTGTGATGGATGCATTACCCTCTTATATGATGTCAGTCTTTCCTATGCCTGCCAATGTATCTAATAGCATTGATGCTCTTGGAAGAAATTTCTTATGGCAAGGCAGTGAAGATAAGAAGAAGTTTCATCTTGTTAAATGGAAGGAACTGATTGTGAGTAAAAATACAGGAGGCCTAGGCATAAGAAATCTGTGGAAACAAAACCAGAATCTAATGATGAAGTGGTTGTGGAAGTTTGCAAATGAAGATAACATGCTCTCGAAAGAGGTCATCACAGCAAAATATGGCATGGAAGATAAGTGGATGACTAAAATGATAAGTACTCCATATAAATGCACTGTATGGAGGGCAATCAGAAATCTATGGCCAGTGCTATATCACAGAACCAAGGTAGAAGTGGGAGATGGGTCAAAGACATCCTTCTGGGAGGACAAGTGGAATGGGTCTGTCCCTTGAAACAGTTGCATCCTGAATTGTTCATTTTATGCCAACATCAACAGGCCACTGTGGCTACAATGTGGACTGGACAAGGATGGAATTTGTTCTTAAGGAGGAACCTTCAGGATTGGGAGATAGACAAAGTGGTAGAATTTCAAGATTCAGTAGGCTCTTTCAGCAACCTCACTGAAAAGGAGGACTTATTAGTTTGGCAGAATGACACCAAAGGTCAATTCTCAGTAAATTCAATTTATAAGGAACTCAACAAGAATGCTGGACAGGAGACGGAATGGCCATGGAAGAGCATCTGGAAACCAAAAGTACCCTACAAAGTAAACTGCTTCATGTGGTTATTGACAAAAGAAGCGGTTTTGACTCATGAAAATCTAAAGAAAAGAGGCTATCAATTGGCTTCTAGATGTACTTTATGTGAAGAACATGCTGAGACAATTGACCATCTTTTCTTGCATTGTACATGGACGGAACAATTATGGAGAATGTTCATCTGTCTAAAGGGGATAAGAGGAAGTTCCAACTATGCTCAAGATGCTATTTGTGTGAGGAACAGGCAGAGACAGTCCACCATCTCTTTTTGCATTGCAAATGGACAGATCAATTATAGAGAATATTCAGCAGCCTTAGGAAGATCACTTGGGTGAAACCAAGAAACATAGTACAACTCCTAAATTGTTGGATCAATATTGGCAATACTACAATTAAGGAGGAGAGATGGAGGATTGTCCCAGCTTGTATATGGTGGACAGTGTGGAAAGAAAGGAATCAAAGATGTTTTGAGGGCAAGAAGAACAATTTGCAGAATTTGAAGATGAATTGTATAGCTCTTTATTATTTTTGGTGTAAACAGAAAGTCTTAGTACATCTTAGTACAGGCAAAAGAACTTTTTGATGTTTTAGACTATTTGTGACAAAAAGCACAGATGGAGTCTGTCTAGTTTGTAATACTTTTGGAAGGGGGCTACTTTGATGTAGTATACCTGTGGATAAATAGAAAAAAAAGTTACCATTCTCAAAAAAGAAAAAGAAACCTACAAACACTTCTTACTGCATTGTAAAATAACAACACAAATAGGAGCCTTCATCACTACCATTGCTGGAGTCTATTGGATCATGCCTGGACATACTACAGATTTGCTTAGCTGTTGGATCAGTAGAGGAGGAAGCAAGAGCCAGAAAAGATGGCGGAGGACGGTCCCAGCTTGTATCTAGTGGAACATTTTTGGATGGAGAGGAACCAAAGGATTTTTGAAGGAAAAGAATGCACTATACTGAAGATTAAGTGGAAAGTTATTACTTCACTAGGTTTTTTGGTGTAAAGAACAAAATATAGAAGAGGAAATCCAACTAGTGGATTTTATATTCTCTTGGTAAGTATCTTTATTCTCTTTACTGTACCTTTTTGGAGGTGGCCAGCATAGTCCCTAGTGCTGAAGAATACAAATTACCAGTATAAAAAAAAAATAAGGTGAGAAGTAGCGAGAAAGAGAAAAAGAAGAAAGAAAAGAAGCCACAACACCAGATGCCAAGGAAGAAGCAGAGAACGGCGAAACTAGTGAAAGCAGCAGCGCCGGTGAGTTTGAACTCTGAACTCATTTTTTTTTGGGTCTAAAAGGCCTCCTTTTCTTTTGCTTTCGAAAAGTTGCTCCCTAAAAGATTACATAGCAATTGCTTCATACCTGTTCAATTGAAGCACTCACTTCTTCAGTGTCGGCTCTCCTTGCACTTGGAAAGCAACTTACCTGCACTTCGCGTTGCTCCGGCGCTTTAAAGGGGCAAAGTGCTCGATTTTCACAACACTACTTTTCATTCCTTCATGATTGATAGTAGAATGGGCATAGAGTTTAAGATGTAAACTTAACTTGTATACATTGAAGTAGTAGTAGGAGAAAATATTAAAGTGATGGATAAAAGTCAGTTTAAGATTTGAATAAGAAATAATTCTAGCCTTCAAGATTGTGGAAATCGTAGAAATCATATTATTTGTAAAAGGGGAAAATGTTCAAATGTACCCTGAAGTATTCAATTTGTCTTATATTTGCCATCTGTTTACTTGTCTTCCATGAAAGCCTCTACTGTTATATTTCATCTCAATTACCCCCCCTACCTTTAATGTTTTCCTGCTTGGCTCTGACTTTTTCCACGGTGGAGCCACATAGACAAATAAAAGATTCAAATCACCCCTAAACTATTAACTTGGTTTATATATACCCTCTGTAAAATAATTTGAAGCATGCCCATAGAACAATTGAAAAAGTCAAAAATACTTCTGCATAATTGAATAAGATTCAAACATACTCCTATGTGGCTCCACCATATCAACCAAATAAGTCCCATTTTTTCATGGCCGAAAATATTAGTTGGAGGGGCATATTTGAGACAAGAAAATGGTGAAGGCTTTTATGGACTGATAGGTGAACATAGGATAAATATAGAACAAATTGCAAATGATTTTTAAATCTTTTCCCTTAGTAGAATGATGTCAAGCATTTTGGAATGTTCTAAAATAGGAAGTGTGATATTAATCTGAATACAGGAGTATTACAAAGAGATAAGTATTGAAAACACCTCTAAACTTGGAGTTTAGAAGGCTGTGATTGGTCAAAGGGCAGGTCACAGACGGATTTCTCGGTTATAAAAAAAAAAACACCCCTAAACTTGGTGTGAATTATTATTTTAGTCCCCCAATTATTGACAACTTTAAAAACACACCCCTCTTATGCCACATGTCATCCACCTATGCGTATATGTGGATTTTTCTACTAATGTGGCGTACACATAGATAAATATAGTAAAAAAAAAGGAAAAAAACATTCAAATAATTAAATGCTAAAATTTTGTAAAGATTTTTTTTTCTTCTCACCCCATCCCCTACCCAGTACCCCCCACCCCACCCCAACCAAAAAAAAAATTCAAAAGTTTTTTTACAAAAAACTTTTTATCCAACACCACCGAGTAGCCTGACTCCCCCCCCCCTAAAAAATTATTTTAAAAATAAAATATTTTTTTTTTCTTATTCCACTCCTCTCCCCTCAAAAAAAAATAAGTTCAAAAGAATTCTTTTTGGGGGTGAGTGAGGTGGGAGGCTGGGGGGGTACTGGGTAGAGGATGGGGTGGGTGATAAAGAAAAAATAAATCTTCAAAAAGAAAAAAAAGTTCTTTTATCTTCTTAAATTGCTAAATTCTTAACATTTAATTATTTAAATGTTCTTTAAAAAAATTTCTATTACATATATTTATGTGTACACACCATTACCATATTCAAAAAAAAATATATTTATGTGTACACAACGTCAACAGAAAATTCTACATATATGCCCATGTGGCATAAGAAGGGTGTTTTTAAATTCACTTAATCAAGTAAAGGGGTGTTTTTAAGGCTGTTAATAGTTGGAGGACTAAAGTAATAATTCATGCCAAGTTTAGGGGTGTTTTCAATACTTATCTCTAGAATGGTCTCCCTATTCCTTGCTATATTGTTGTTAATTTAAGTTCTCTTATTGCTATTCTGCTATGTTGAGTAAAAAGCACAGTAGTTCCTTGCTTCATTTGCACTTCTCATCTGTTTGATGTTATGCTGTGGATTCTTTTTTCAAGTGTTGTTGGACTTGTTTGCTTGGATGATAATCTTTCATGTTTACTCCTTATTGTTGAACTTTTTTTCTACCTCCCTATTAAGGAAAAAGAGGCACTAGTATTTTCAGTCCATCTCTTAAGGAATGGCTAATGTTGAAGATATAACGAAGAACTTCCTTCTTTGGCAACACATGGTTGGCCTATTGTCCTCTAGCTATGTGATTTTTTATACTTCGATTTTTATTCCCTCCTTCACTTCTTATTTGGCAGTTTAGTTGTAGCATTAAAATAGATTCATTATAACCAGATGGCTTACTGAAGGAATCTTCAACTCTTTAATAATAGTATTAGAAAATTATGAAGTCAGTGCACCATGAGAAAGAAGACATTGTTTGACCCAAGAGAAGTAAACTGAGCTATATAAAATCGGATTGAGCGCTTTAATTTACTGCAGATATACCCTCTGAAAAGTACTGGATTAAAGAAAAAAATGTTCTCTGATGTTACCCTATACCTGTGTGCCCCAGTTGCTGTACAGTAAAGTCATAATTCAGTAGTTATTTTGGATGCTTTCCAAATACAGAAAAACGCAGACGTTAGCTGTTTTTGTAGGGGAAACTCCTCGCCTACGGTTCAAACAAAGGCTTTACATTTGTTTTTAATTTTCTTCCTCCAAAGCAAAGTTACCGGATTTCAGGCTGAGTTGGGCACAACTTTAGGATGGAAGCAGTAGTGTTTTTCTGAAAGTAAAACTAATGCTCTTCTCTTATTATTGACAGAGAAGCACTCCTGGGCCCATGGAAGGCTCTGTTGAACATTCTCAAATAATCAGAAACGGCTCTACTCATGAGGATGATATTGTCATTAACCCAACATTGCTTTCGAGTGCCCAGAGCTTTGTAGAACCGAACTTGACTGCTGCTGCTTTATATAGAGCAACACACGATTCTCATATGGCAGCGGATGAAGCAATTGCCTTTAACATGCCACTGCAACGTAATTTATTTGAAAATGCATCTGTTGAACTATCTCCTGATGCTGAGCACCCTTCCCAGCCACAATCATTATGTTGGCCAGGTAAACGAGATACAATTGAGTCAGAGGTTCTGAGCTATGGCAGAAATGATCAGGAAGAAGTGAAATGCGATGGTGAAGCAGTTGCAAGAGCACATGCGTATACTCAAAGGTAAGATGATTTATCACGAGTTCAATAGCTATGACTTAATGTCCTGGTAAGGTGGAGATTCAAATTTATTTCTTCTACACCCCCATGACTTGCTAATTTCTGTAATGATGCCAAACTTGTATTACGCCTACGAAATAGGCATGTGATACAGAATCACTTTAAGTACCTTGGACCCAGTGGGCCTAGTGGCAGTCAAGGTCTTAGAAGAATTACCTGTAATGTTCCAATTTCTTATTGTCCTGTGATTGCCAAGTGCATGAAATAGATTCAGACTAGTTAATGTTTCTCGTGGTTATTAGCTGGTGGTTGGTTGAAATGCAGATTGTAGCCTTTCTGAGCCCCTTCCAGTATAGTTTTTTTTGTAAAACCTGCTGCAACTTGTGGGTTTGCATTTTTTTGTGAATAAAATTGCCAATTCAAAAAAGATTTCATTGGCTTGAAGGAAGTCATTTATATGACCCGGCATTGTTTACCCGAGCAATCAAATATCAATCAGGTTTCCCTGCATGGCTTCCCTCAACTTTTCTACCTGACCCATCAAATGGAAATCTAAGTTGAAGGTTAATAACAAGCGGATCTCTGGATTTCGAGGTTTGAGTCTCACTTGAGGATTTTCCAGACTTCCCATTAAAACGAAGAAATGTATAACAAACATGTACATATCATTCTGACTTGAGCAGTTGTCCTCTGAACCTTTAGGCACATTCTGATCTAATTTCAGTTGATCTGAAATTATATTATGATGCTAGTATACTACTGATTTTGGATTCTATTTATGTGACATATTGAGTCTTGGTATTGAGCAGGTTGCTTAATATCATAAACCAGACACTAGCATCTGTGGGAGTGGATCCTTCACTGGCCGATGTTAGAGTACAGCTTGATATCAGCAAAAAACCAAGCAGTGGAGCCACAACTACAACATTAAGCAGTGAAGAGAACTATGATGGTGCTCCTAAAAGGCTTAGGACAGAAGGTAGTATGTGATTGTCAATCTAGCATGGTTCCACTCCTAATTTTTCTGCATCTTGTCATTGTTTCGATGGGGAGATACTTGAAGTGGTTGATCTCTGTGGATGAGGTGGTGGACAAACAGCTTATGGTTGTCCAGTTAGGTTTCCATTTAAATATGAGAAGCTGCATTGTCATTCTTAAGGGTATTTAGATAGTCGACTTTGGAAATTCTGTCAGTGTGATGTGGTTATGCCTATCGATTTGAGATGCCTCTATGGATCTGGTTTCATAGTTGATAGTTAAACAGGGAAATTTGAAGTTGTTTCAAATGTCAGCATGAAGAATTTTATGTACATTACCAAATCTTTTCCTTTATACAGTATTTTGTGATTAGTTCACTTAAACAGGATGCTGGCTTTTCAATTGTGTTTTCAGAAATAAAAGTCAGCACTTGTATCATTGTGAAAAACTGAAAATTTTGGTCTTTAAGTCGAATCAACAACATAATGCAAGTATTTACTGATAACGGCGTTTGGTCAGATGAATACGGCAGTTTCACAATGATTGCATATGAATATGCTCATGTTAGTCCATGGTATATATTGTAATTTTATCCTAAAGATATCGTAATGAGAAGTTAGATGAGTTTGATGCGATGAACTGATGAAGCATTGGTAATGGGTTATTGGCTTAGCAGTTTTGCTAATTCTCTTTATATTTGGGATATCCGTTGTCAACTGTTTGAGGTTTTTTTCTTAACACATTAATCGAATTAATAAGTTAAACTCTCGGCTATTCTACTAGGTGCCAATATTTGCTTTTGAGCAAGATGCAATGTCGTTCATTTGGTTTGTCACCTTGTTTCTAAGTGAATTTTAATCTATAACAGGATGTTTGTTGGTAAACCAACATCTTAATGGTTCTATAATATAATGGTCTTGTGTTGGAACATTATAAATAATTATACAATTAACTATAAGTAGGTGAGCCTCGATCACCAAGTCTTCAATATATCTTCCCTCTTTTGTTCTTCTTATGTCTTGAATCCAAGCAAATGAATTTATTGTAAAGCTATTCATATAACTACTAGGTATTTGTATAGTTGCATTTGGACTAAGGGGAGTTCTTTTTCGAAGATGAAGTAGAAGCGGGAGGAACTCCAGGTAAGCCAGGCATAGGACTGAATGGGAACGGAGGGAGAAGAAATTGGGAAGGTGGCGATGGTGGTGGTGGTAATGGAATTAAATCAAATGTAGGTGGTGGTGTAATTGGAGGTGGTATTGAAGGAGGAGGAGACATTATAGGTGAATGAAAATTTGGTGGAAATGTTGAAGGTGGAGGAATTGGAGGTGCATGAAAAAACGGTGGAAATGTTGAAGGTGGAGGAGACATTGGAGGTGCATGTAAAAACGGTGGAAATGTTGAAGGTGGAAGAGACATCGGAGGTCCATGAAAAAACGGTGGAAACAATACAAGAGGTGGCAGAGGAGGGAGTTGTGGTAAAGGAGGGAGCTGCGGTAAAGGAGGGAGTCCTGGAAGAGGTGGAAGATAGCCTTGATTAATAGTAACAAAACGCGACACTGATGGAGTTAATATGGGATCAGGATATGGTTCTTTGTTGTTGGTACTATGAATGCTTGGTTTTTGGTTGCAAAGTTTTGGCTGGTTTACAGGTTTGAAAGTGAAGAATCCAGCAGAAAAAATAGGTGTTCCCTTTTTCTTCGATTTGAGTTGGAAAGAAGAAGAGGTTGTTGTTGTCGATGCCTCAGCGCACTGTGGCTCACTGCTGCTGATTAGCCTGGCTGAACATCCTATAACATGTTTGACATGTTTGTCCACGTTGAAAGGAAGGTGTACACTGAATTCTCCATGCATATTTGTTTTCACTTCTTGGTAAAATCTTGAGTTTTTGCCTGAGTTTGCACATTCCACTGCAACAATAGCTCCTATAAGTAGAAAAATGCATCAAAAGTTTAAAAGATTCCCAAGAAAGAAGAGAGAATAGAATGTGTTTGGTATGATAGAAATATTTCTCAGAATATAAGTCATTTTCCTTCACAATTCTCTTTTTTCCCTTTTCCCATATAAAAAGAACTCATTTCATAAAGATATGACATTCGAGTCTAACTTAATCTCAAAAGTTAACTTGAGGGGAGGAGTGTCCAAATTCATATAAATAGGCCAACAATTCATTTTCCAACCAATGTGGGACTCTAACACCTCCTTCATGCCTGGGCCCAAAGTGGAGTGTGAACCTGACTATCATACCATGTAAAAATATAGTATTTGAACCTAACTCAACTCCAAAAGCTAGCCCATGAGAGGAGGATTAATCAAGTTGAATATAAGCAGCACCAACCCATTCCCCAACTAAAATAAGACTCTAACCCTCTAACATTTTTTAAGAAAATACTCCTTCCATTTCAATTTGTTCGTCTTACTTACTTTTTAGTCTTTTTTTTTAAAAAAAATGTCTCTTTTCCTTTTCATCACTTTTAAATTTCAACTTTACATATGACATGTTTAAGACCATAAGATTAAAGGATATTATGATAAATTCTACATATCTTTAGTTTAGTACTACAAAATTCAGAATGAAATTTTCTTTATTTTCTTAAACTCCAAGTCAAGTTAAAACGTGAAACAATTTGAAACGGACAGAGTAAGTGATTTTCCAGAAAAATACAACTTTTTAATCATTCCAAACAACAATAAGTTAAAAAAGTTAACCAGGATGGTGATGAACCTGAAATGTAGTGACTGGCCTTTGACAAATCCTGGTGATAGTGACAAACATCACAGAAAACTTTTCCTACAACAAGAGCAGTTGGATGATGGCTAGAAATATGCCTACCTTCTGAAGCTGAAAGGTTACAAAATACCAAACCAAGGAAGACAAGTATCATCCAAAACCAACACATTTTGTTTAGATTGTATGTACAATCTAAAAAATGATTTCAACTCTAATTAATTTGTCATTCTTTGGCTTCCTAGCTAGTAAGATTTTATACTAATAATAATAATATATGAACTTCTTTAAACATAAATAAATTTATAATGGATGTTGCCAATTCCTCATCTGTATCTCCTCATGCAAGACCTGTGACTAACAAAAAATATACCACAACAAAGGAATTATCTTCAACTCTTTTTTGGTTGTCTTCTCTTTTTTATTTTTTTTTAATTTTTATTTAGGGTGTGTTTGGTACAAAGAAACTAAAAGGGATAGTATTTTACTAGCTATTTCATGTATGGATGATTTTGGGATACTTGTTTTTTCGTTTACGTAAACCAATACGCTAAAAAATAAGTGAGAAATTCACTTATTTTATAAGAAAATAAAATTTTTGATCGAAGTAAGCCATTAGTTAAACCAATTCATCAAAATTGTTTTTTTTTTTTTTTTAAAATTTTCAAAACTAGAGTAAATGTATTTCACAATAATGTATAAAACATTATTTTATTAATGAAAACCAACGGTCAAAACTGGCGATGAAACATAAAACATTAATGCCAATAATGTTTTATTAAGTAATTTGTTACCGCAAATAACGTTCTATAGGACATTGACAAAATGGATTATCTGACATTGTAATATTTTTATTTTGATGTATTGTTTTAAATAATGATTTTTTTAAAAATAAAAAATCCAAAAAATAATTATATTTTTCATAAAAGTATTTTACTTTATACTAAACACACCCTTAATCAGTAAAGGATGAGGAGACAGTTTGGTCCTTGCGGTCGAATTATGATACAAGGGGTCCAAATTGTTTGCACACAAGGGCAAAGTTAAAGGGTTCTAAGGAGTTTTATCAATTATATTTTAGGTCAAAAAATTATATCGTGTAAATAAAATAAAAATAAACTTTTTGTATAGATATAAAATATTTGAATTCAAATAAGGGAAAATAGTTTGAAAAATACTCCAACTTTGATCGAAATTGCTGTTACGATACCAAACTTTATGGAGGATCTTTTACCACTATTTAATAGTGTATTTTAAAGGTATATATGTGCCCACATGAACATGTTACTATTTATAATGATGCAATATTTATGATGTCCACGTGAGCATATATATACCTTTAAAATATACTATTAAATAGTGTAGGGGGTAAAAGATCCTTTTCAAAGTTCGGTATTGTTACAACAATTTTGGTTAAAATTCGAATATATTTCAGACGTTTTTTCCTTCAAACAACATAGTAAAAGCTTCTAGTGCAATAGCTAAAATGTGGCATCTTTTTTTTTTAAAAGAAAAAATCCATTATCTAAAATTGATGGGTTTGCCACAATAAGCTAGTTAGAAAATGGGCATGCATTGAGTATGGATTTTGGTTATCCAACTTTTAAGCTGGTGAGACCACGAGATTGTTGCTTATTTTTTTAGTTTACAGTTAGGAAATTTTAACCCTACTACTTTTTAACTGAAAAAAGAAACATTCCACCAACTATGTATTGTGATTTCATGTGAAATCCTTTAAGATTTTACATTCTGTACAACTCATCAAATTAGTCTTCTTTTTTCCACTTTTAGAGCCTCGACTAAATCTGAATCACATAGGACTCGAATCCCATACCTCTAATTAAGGGTAAAATAGTTCCACTATTGTACCGTAACCTATGTTAATTCAAATCCGTCTTTAACATAGTAAAAAGAAAATTAAAATTGCATTATCAGATTATTTAATAGATAATAGGAGGTGGCTATCCGTAATTAGTGAGATTGATATAACCTAAAATTAAGACAGTTAACATATTACAAGCTAAAATGTTAACCTCCATTGTCTTTGTATAATTCATTATGTAATGTGATAAAAGTTAAAACTATGTAAATTATAGTTAGTTTGATAGATAAATCGCTGGCAGCCTCTCAATTCAATTTTGTGTTTGTATATCAGCATAAAATTTGAATGTGTATACAATTGAATCAAAATAAAACGTTTGTGTATCAAATCTCTCTCTCTCGCTTTATACAAACACAAATTATACATTGTATTTTGTATAATCTGTGTTTGTATAAATCGAGAAAGAGAGAAAGACAAAAGAAAACTAGACAGGGGAAGATTTATATTGTATAATTATAAGTGTATAGGACGAAGATATATGTATTTGCATGTGTATATACAATTTTCTCGCTTTATACAAACATAAATTCAATTTATACATTTGTGTTTGTATAAAGTGAGAGAGGGAGAGTGGCGAGTAAGAATTTTAGGGAGAGAGGCGAATGACAACAGTATGCTACGGGTTACAATTAAATCAAACTGTGATTATAACATTTAATTTGAATTAATAATTTGCTATTATATACAATTTTCCCTTGTATATTTAGTTAGTTGTAGTAATTATTTGACCTGAACATAAATGTGTTAAAAGCATTACATTATTTTAAGGAAAAAGGTCAAAATTATCTTAGAATTTTGTATTTTGGAGTACGTGATTTATATATATATAATATATATATATATATGGACTACGTGATATAAATATTTTCAGAAGTTGTATATTGAAAATTTCCAAAAAAAATGTGTAGAATATTATTTTGTCAGTTGAACAAATAAATGTAATTTTTGTTAATCACATCACTACTCGTGACCAATTAAACGCGATAGGAAAAATGACAACAAGAAGTGGAGTTCGGGCGATTACGTGTACACAATTTTATCTCTACCTTATAATGATAGAAAGATTATTGTCAATAGATCCTCAAGTAAAGCATATAAAAAAGTAAATGCATAAAGTAAATACAATGGCAATAACAAACAATATGATAACTAAAGCAAAGAAAATACAAGTAATACAAAAATCGACAAAAAAGATAGTAAGAGAGTAATAATAACAATAATGTGAAGGAAACTAGACAATGTTTGACTATCTACTAACTTTCTACTCTAATCCTCGGCCTTCCTATCTTTCTATCTAGGGTCATGTCCTTGATATGTCGTATATGTGTCACATGTTCTGTCTAATCACCTCTCTCAATTCTTCTTCGACATACCTTTGTATCTCTTTTAATACCAATTATAGTCAACCTCTCGTAGTTCCTCACTAAGACCTTTGAACATCATCTCCAACAAATAGAATGAATAGCATCAAATTGTGCCCATTTGTGTTAACTCGTAAGTAACATAAAACTTCATTCTATGAGGCAGAATGTATAGCTAATTAAGTAGGTTCATAATCTTTTGACGTACTGAAATGTTTTGAACTTCTAGAGAACAAGGGTTAGCTCTGCAGCACGTCTACCCTCAAAACTAACAACTTCACAAATTTCAAATAAAGTGAAAATACTCGCTGTACTATGTAATAGCTCATATATGGGATCTAATCTATAACATTAAAGGCGTTACACAAGCAGTATAGAGAGGCTCAAATAGTGTGAAGTGCAGACCACTTTACATCTATTCTTGAGATTATATCATATGTATGCTATTCTCTCCTTTCTCCTTCAACAAAAAATGACGGAAAGAACATCTGCAACAACATATTGTACTCGACCTACATTTTCAGCCTTGAAACTATGTAAGAGGAAGACAGTCCCCCCATATTAACTGAATTTTTCTTACAGTCCTAGGTCTAGGGTGAAGATCAAATTGCAACAGATGCTGCCTAGATTTGCAGTGACCTGCTTTGCTCTGCTGTTTCTAGATGATACCAGCCTCGAGAAAACCAAAAGCCACATGAAGTTGCAAGGAACTAGCAAGCGGAAAAAGGAAAATTTACAGACATTATGTAACAGCGGCCAAAGAGATGATTCAACGAAGTTGTTGATCATGAAATGCCATAAGCTGTTTTACATCATTCCACCATGCAGCAACATTTTGTCCATCAACAGTAACCCAGTCAACTACAGTTGATGCTGGTTGTTCCCACCATTCATCTACCTGTAAAGATGCCACAATATCACATTTGCATAAGCAGGAACTTTTCAGAACAGAGCAAAGAAGAGTATGTGAGAAAGTAAAAAAAGAAAACGAACATAATAGCATCACCAAGATATCCTAGTTACAGAGCTTGAATGTTTGTTTCTCTTTTTATAAAGACCCATTTTTTTGCTTTCCCCTTTTTGGGCATAACAGAACTAAAATATCCTTCTAACACCAAATAAATTCAGAAACAAAATCTTTGGATCAATTAGGATAACTCTAATTTTTTCCCAGAAATGGGTTCTTGGCAACTGACATAAAGTACTTTCCGTTCATGCAGTTGTGCAGAAAGATGTTAAAATTCACATGATCCTTGGGCCTAATTCCAAAAGCTAGCTCATGAGGCAAGGACTGCTCAAGACCAGATAAGCATACCCATTCCCCCCATAACCAACGACTTAACATCACCCAAGGAGGTTAATCAGAAGATATGAAAGATGTCATTTGGAAGACATGAAATGATAAATATCAAAGAAAACAATTTACAATATAAACTTATATCAAGTAAAAAATAGTCTTTTGTGGCGTGTTCTACCTTCGTTTTGGACACTCCCACATCTGTGTCCAGATGGATGATTGACAGCATATAAAGAAATGTGTAATTCCATTATTTTATCCATTTCTAAGTAAGATATTACCTTGAACAAACTAGTGAACAAATAATCAGCGACAAAAATTACTCACCAGGCCCCGAGCATACTTGCATTCCTCGTCAAGGCAGTGTTTAGCATTACCAATAGCTACATCCAGTTCCTGTAGCCAATTCTCTGTAGCTGTCTTCTCTTGCTCAGCTGCCAGATTTAAGCAGTAGTTTGTTGTCCTACAAAGCACAAACAATAAAACCAACCATTCTATATTGGTTCAGTCTAATGTCCAACAAAGGCACTAGACTCCAATCTAATTTTGTTAAGGCACCCCAGTTTTTGGTTTGAATTAAGAAATAGAAAGACTTGTGCATTGCAAATAAGCAAGGATCTGACCCGGGGAAAAAAAAGAAAAATTGATAAGTGACATTTGTCGCACCTTTCATACTCATTTTGTGCCTTGTTAGCATGATCTAATAATGCACGACCACTTTCAACAAGATCTCGCCGTGTGTGAACCAAGTTGATTGCCTTTTCCAAGTCTTCCAATATGGAAGCTTCAGAACCACGAAATTTCATACAAAATCCCAAAGATTCTAAAACTGCTGCTAAGCCAGCATCAGAGACATCCAAACCTAAATACACAAGTTAAAAGGACAAAAGCAAGATGTACAATCATCAGTACAGGTAAAAGGTGTGATAGCGAGGAATGCAAACCCAAGCTCAAAAATAGTGAATGTTTGAGCCAATAAAATCCAAGAAAGTCATGGTATGAATATTTAAAATTCAATAAAAGCCATTGTGTCTAACAGAGCTCATACATATTACAAAAACAACATAACGAACTAATAATGAGCTCAAGTATTTATGCAACTTATTTCATAAACTTGAGGGCAAGGAGTTCAATCCAGTAAATGGGTTAAAAAAAAAGGCATACTGAAATGCCAAACTTAGATCCATCTAAAGACTCATTCATATAGGGCTTAGTTAGATTGATAAATCGTGATTTAAGTCATTCTCTTGTGATTCTTTTATGGGACATAATAATCACAAACACACCATAAACCTAAATGAGCTTAAGGTGATTCCTATCGCCTTAATTGTTTAAGCTTTGCACATTATCATCCTTCTTGGTCTCTCATGTTCTACTTGATGATTATACTGCCGTATTGTCTCAAATGGTTTTTAAGGGTATTGATAGAAGCTCAGATGTCTGGAAATCCGATCAAGTCAAATTTTGCCTCACTGTTTCTAACACTCAGATGGCCCTTGGTCCAATTAGGCAACTATAATTGAAACTATATCCATCTTAAAGTCCCAAGCCTGCTAGCTGCACCAGAGACTATTGGCCCATAGCTTTTCTGACCAAACCAGACAAGTCAGCAGACAGCATAACACCACCTTATGCTACACTTAGATTTAAACACAAATCAACTAGATTAACTTTATTTTTTTTGATAACCGATAAATCTGCCTGTGACCCATCCTTTGGACCAATCACAGCCTTCTAAACACGGTTGGATAATGGACCCGCCCCTCTACCCTTCTCCACTTAAATACTGGGCTTTGCTTTGCATGTGTGGGGCTTGAACCTGTGACCAAAATGCCAAGAACTGGAAACAAGAAAAGAGGTTGTATTCACCTGAACAAGTCAATAATGCCTATGCTATCCGCTACTGATTTAATGCCTCCACAAGATCCCGAATGCATATTTTGCTTTACAGAGAGTTATGACAGAATAAATGATTGAATTCTTTACTTCCTAAGCTAATCGTGTTAGTTTCCTTCAACAAAATCAATAAGCTTCTTGATTGATCCCCTATATCTTCGGCCTTCAACAATTAGAATTCATAAGGCGATTTGTTCTCCACTACTTCCTGAGAGATCAATAGAAAATGATTGTCTGTGCTTCCAGCCGCTCTTCTCCTTTTTCCACTCACCGACTCAGAAAAGCAAGACATGTACATTATGATCTATCATATACTAATAAAGCAAGGAAGCAAAGTAGTGCCTCTCCGTAACCCTCCTTTTTCCACTCTCTGACTCATAAAAGCAAGATATGTACATTATGATCTATTATATACTTATAAAAAGCAAGGAAGCAAAGTAGCGCCTCTCTGTTGCCCCTCTATACTCTACAAGTCATTAGTGTCAAGTGCACGCACCAGAAAGAGAAAATGGGGGAAGTCAGTTCAGAACTTCAGATACAAGAAGTGAGGAAGACAAAACATTAGGGAAAAGAAGGAAATGAGAACTGCTGGGGAATAACTCGGTTGGGGCCTTTTGGTCAGGTGGACTTGGGAGAAGGGGGGCACAGTTAGCTTCTAAAATCTAAGGTGAGTGAAAAGGAAAACATTAACGCCTCATTTTTTGCACTTAATGGAGGTCTGAAACTCTGAATCTTAATCATTCTTCAGCCCATTAAGTGTGTTTGGTTTTTAGGTTTGAATCTTAATCATTCAGATTCAACCCATCAAATCCATATGTTCTTTTGTTAATAAAACTCTTAATGAATTTGAAAAGATATGAACAAATCAAATCTGTAGGAGAGCCTCAACAACACTCAAACTTATTTAATACGTTTTAAAATAATCATTGTCGCTTTTCTCTCTCTCTTCGCATGCCTTCGCTCTTTCTGGCTACAAACTTTCTTACTCTCTTTACTCGATCAAACACCAATTTTTTTCTCTTCTTGAGTTTACATAATTTTTTGCGACACCCCAAACTTTCTAAGCAAAGGCCCTAACCATTCTTCATTTGCATAGAAGGTCGTATCGAGTGATTCTTAAATTGTTCTTAGGTGTTAAGGTCAATTCTTTAGTGTGGAATGGATTTGGATATGAATTAAGGTCACTAGAATCCCCTAATACAAAGTTGAGTAGAAAGTAATGATCATATCTCTCAGCACATAATGAATTAGGTGGCCCATGATATCAAATGAAAGGTCTATGAGTCGTCTTTCAACGCCACCAAGTGTGCCTCATTTCGTGTTTGGAGTAAAAAATTATGATCGTTTTACCAAAGACTACCACAATAGAATTTTCTGAGTAAGTGACCTACGAATCACTTCTATGTGCCGTAGAAGTTTCTACGATCCGTACTGTTCACTCGTGGAAAAAGTACTGGGAGTCAAAATTTTGGATTTAATTCTTACAGACCCGTCTATGGGTCATAGTTTGGGCCCGTAGAATGAACTTCTAAGCCTTAAAATTTCAATATGAATTCCACAGATGGGATTTACGATCCATAGATCAAACCACGAACTGTAGATGGCCCCGTGGAAGGTTTCAACAACTTTTTAAGAGGGGTAGTTCAGTCTATTCCCACTCCTTCTAAGCCTAAACCCCACTTTTTACACCTATATAAGGTTCTAAATAATATTAATCAACCCTATTACTCTCATTAACACTTCCAAGTCTTACAACAAGAATCCAAGAGGAGAAAGCTAGGGTTTTCAAGTGTTCTTCCAGTTTCGGCAAGAACTTTATTCTTCGAGGTATGTAAGGCTACTCATAGTGATGGGCTAAGTTCGTCCTCAAATCCTACATCTAAATTCAATCATTAAAAGGTTATGTTTATGGTTCTACCCACAGTTCTTGAAATCTAACTTCGGTTGTGTTTTGTATTTTGAGTTCCAACTTCCTTATCATTGAAATTTCGATTACTATTATGCATATCGAATTCTAAACCCTTGTTCATGATTTGTATCACATGAGCCCTATTTTTTTTATAAAAGTCGGGTTTATAAAGGTTTTACATGAGTTTTTCCTATTACATTGAGTTCAGATTTGAAAGGTAAGCCCATGAGTGTACTTTTTAAATGCATGTTTTGAAAAGGGTTTTAAAAGGACATGAATGACTTCATATGTACTATTTGGCAATTGAGAAAGAAAAGAATATAATTGACTTTCTGAAACTTTTTCTTTCTTTTTGTTTGGTAGGTTTTGGTTTAGACACTTTTTTTAAGTCTTATTTGTTCATGGCGACGAGCAATATCACAAGTTGAAATGGAATCTTAATGTTTTTTCCATTTTTGATAATGGTCAATGAAATGGTTTGAGAACCATGAAGTTTCAAGTTCCCTGCGGAGGCAAAAATACTAGGTAATGTTTTCCCACCAATCTTAAGTCTTAATGGATAGAATCACCCAATAGTTGTGTTGGTGGGAGGTAGCTCGAACCTGTAATTAGTCAAGGTACACACAAGTTTGGCCTGGACACCACAGTTATCAAATAAAATATTTCTGCTAAAACTTCCATAATTTGTGGGGAAATTCAAAGGTCTAAACTTGTATCCATTCACGATTTGAGTTTAGGAGAGAATGACAAAAATGGACATGTATGTTTAGTGGTAGGTTTAAAATAGTCCTCTAAGAATCACTGAACAATTATGGTCCTTTTAGTTTGTCCAAAAGTAACACTTTTAGTCTTCGTCAAATATTTAACCATTTATGTTTTGTTAGATTTGACGAAAACAGTGAGGAAAATATGTAATCATAAACAACAAGAAAGTTCCATCAAATCTTAAAATATGCAACACAAAAATTCGCACTAGACACAAAAAATATTTTTAAAAAATAGTAGAATTGCACCTCAAAATATTGCATCAGACTCTAGAAATATATCAAGGTAGTAGAAACTACAAAATTGTACCTCTAAATGTGAGTTCGCACTGCTTTCCTTTTCTCATAGTTCCCGTCAAATCTAACAGACAAAGTTTGTTAATTTTTTTACGGATATTAAAAGTGATAACTTTTGGAGAACTTAGAGGACCAAAATTGTTTTGTGCATACTTAACTGACTACTTTGAACCTATCTTCAAACGTAAGTGACCATTTTTGTCATTTCAAGTTAAGGATATCCAAATTATGCGTAATAAGTACATATTCATTGCATCTCATCACTGAAGAATAAGCTATTCTTCCAGATTTTGACTCAGTACAGCTAAAAGAAACTATTTTTATAGTAGGTATTTTAATTCCTCTCAAATTGGATAACCTATAAGGAAACGTATTTTTTTTTCTTGGTAAAGAAAGGAAACATATTTTCTTTTTATACACACTCTGGCACTAGTCAATCTTCATTCTTAAGCCTAACTTAAAAAAAATAAAGAGAGAGAGTTCAATTCCCTGACAACCAAAAGAGACAGATGCTCCTCTCTCCCTGGTACATCCCTATTCTCTCTTCTACAAATAGTTTCTTCATGTCCATCTAACCCATCAAACTTATGTCAACGTTAATCATTATTCAGATAGCAACATGACATGGTGCCACTTCAACTCAGTAGGCACTCTATCAGCAGGCAAACATGAGCGCAATCAACAATTTTCCAGCAAATCTAGATGAATTATAGATCAAATTTGTCTCAACATCTCTTCTTGGCTTTTATTGTGGCTCAAGGGTCATATTCTGGTCAAACTAAAAGAGCTATGGTGGCTAAGGTGTCCTGGCAAATAATTTAAATTCCAGGTCCATATAAATACTCCCTCTATCCCTAATTACTTGCCCACTTTTGAATTGACACACCTATTAAGAAGACAATTATTAGCATAGTGAGTTTACCATTTTACCCCTATTCATTATGAAGTAGATCAATTAAAAACTTAAGATTTTCAAAAAGTTCTACCTTTAACAAAGTAATTAATTGAGGGTATAATAGGTAAAAAAAAATTGTCCTTCCTTGATTTGTCAAAATGGACAAGTAATTAGGGACAACTATAAAAGGAAAAGTGGACAAGTAATTACGGACAGAGGGAGTAACATTTAAGCTAAAAAAATACGTATTCTTAAACAAGTTCACTTTTGCATTTTAACAATAGCACCTGATTCAAGTGAATAATAAGTCATTGAAATGAAGAAGAATATTTTTTTTCTCACCTGCAGGATATTGTAGAGCAGCAGAAATACGGCATATAGATGGAATTGCAGACGGATCTCTTGCGCCAGCCCTAGCCGTCAATATAGCAGCATTCTTTTCAGCAGCAGCAACAGCTTCTGGTCCAGTAGATCCACTGACACCCATAGATTCCAATAGTGCCTATTAGCATGAAACAAGGCACCATGAGTCCAGAAGAGGAGATAACACAAATGAAAACTGCAATAGGTTAAAGATGATAATATAAAACAGAATAGCAACTGTGATATTGTAGCCATTTCGTTCATATTTTAAATTATCGCTTTAGGTAAGCCCACCATCTCTGTCTTTCATCTTTTGGCTTATGTTAAACATCCAGACAAAATATAGATAAACAAATAAAAAAATCCTTCACTTCTTGTGTGTTTGGCAGGGAGGTGACCAATAAACTCAGTTATTGCCAGGTGAATACATTCTTTCCTCAACAAAACCCAGACGCTTATATGTACAGACACAGACATACATTTATATATATACAACTTATCAGAAAAGAAAGAAGAAAAAACATATATCCACATATGAATCTATACACATTTTTTCTGTATGTATATACCATCACCTCATGTAGGATGTCCCTTTTACTAATAAATATTTTGATAATTGCTCATGGTAGGAGTTCTCACGATGAGATATATGTCGCAACGAATATATATCAAGGCAAATGGTGAGAAAATGGAAAAGGTCCCCTCATAGAATTGATAAAAGCTTATTTGGAAAGCACTTAAACCGTGTAATTCAGTTTAAGCCAGGTTTTGAGCTCCGCCTCACTTAAGTAGTGCTTTATTTCATGAGTTAAGACGCTATGGTGTGTACCTAATCACCTATTAACTATGCACATTACTAGAGGATAATTACAGTTGATAAACTGGCACGTTAATTGTAAAAAAAATTGTTTAAGAAATTAAAACTTTAGTGAGATAATTAGCTTTGGAAAAACTTCAAGCTACATCGTGTGATCTCAACTAAAAAGATAGTAGTTTTTAACCTTGATTAACATGATTTTACTCCACATAGTTTACTTTGTCCAAACAGGAGTAGCTAATTGTGGTCTAGAATTTAAGGTAAAGAATCAAAGGGAGACCATTATATCAAGTTTAATTTGCAGTTTAGCACTCACATCAATTTATGACAAAGATCTACCTTTCTTTATTGATACCTCTTGTTAAAATAGAAAAGTCTCTCATTGACTTAATTAAAAATGTATGAGAGGTGCTCCTAATATAAGAGTCTTCGGCTATGTATAATATGGAAGCTAATTGATCCCTATACTAATAAGGTACGAAAATACTCTATATTTAACTATAGAATATCTTAAGATATCTTATAGAATATTCTATATAATTAAATGCATATTCTCTTGATACTCTAACATGCACCCCCAAATTCAAAGTGGGGAACCAGCTTGAGCTTGGTTACTTTGATAATTTCTTCATTCTTGATTTGCACCTTGTCTCCAAAGCATAAATATTAAAAAGAAACAGTTAGAAGTAAATAATTAGTAATCAGCGTAGCGAGAGATTCTAAACATACAGTAAAACTGTTTTCACAAATGTTCCTTAAACCTAGCAGTGTAAACAACTCTTTTAAATTTCTTCTCGCTGAACCAAAAACACACTTTTTAGATTTATAGAATAACGAAAAATGAAAATCTACAAACCTGGGGTGTTGATGGAAGCATGTAAAGTGTATTATCAGGAGTTTGATAAAATGCTGAAACTTCTTGCTCAATAAGATCTTTTGCACTGTGTGATAAATCTACAAGAACAGTACAAGCAGGAATTATAGTACTCGATGAATACTCCTTTGCAGCTAATGGCTGCTGACTCCAAAATGCTGCAGCATCCTACATAGTGACGGGAAAAATTTATGTAATCAAACAATCAATAAATTTTCCCTAAGTAGTTCAGGATTCAGGCATAGTTGTTGTCATTGTAGTTGTAAACAATCAATATGTTTACCATATTCTCCAGCTTAAAAGCATAAATATATCAGTGGAACGGCTAATTTGTTAACAAACTGGAATATTTTCAGTGAGATGTACATATATTGGGATGCACATATATCAAGTATCACATCGATGTAAACCTACCTATGTTGCTCGGACTCTTCAAAAGTGCCAACGGGTGCGTGTCGGATTCGCCAAAAGTAGTGTATTTTTGGAGAATCCGAGACGGGTGCAACATCAAAAGTGAAGAGTCCGCGCAACTAAGAAACCTACTCCTTCCACCCCATTTTGTTTAACCAAATAGTGACCAATAAATAATCCATAAGCCTTTCAAACTAGGTCAAACAACGCATATGTCAAAACTTCGGTGTTCTAACATGCACGACATTTTTGTACTGCACCTTTATACATATCTATAACAGTCTTAGATGAAAGAGAACTTAAGAGTCTTAAATGAAAGACTTGTCACATGTCTTCTACCTATCTTCACTCATTTCTCACACAAATGGGACAGAACGAGTACATTACAACTAGGTTGGGCTGTTGAAGCCAAATTAATTATGCCAATAACTTCAGCATATGGTCCCTTCGCTTCAATATTTATGACTTTCTTACCATTTTAGGGATGTCCCAGAATATTTACACAATTCCATATCTATACAAAATTTACATTTTTTGAGGAAGGTAACATAATGTATACAACTTTATAAGAATTCAAAACGATTATACTATTCATTTAGCTTTTCAACCATTACTTTAGTTTTTTTTCTCTATATATAATATAAAAATATAAGTCAAATAAACATCTCAGACTATGTGACCAGACAAATGTTGTCATATAGAATAGAATTGACCGTTGAGAGAGTAATAGATAAAGATCATCTTCGCAATTGATCAACATAATTGTGAGCCCTGAGAAATTTCACTTTTAGTTTCCAACAAAAAGTATTTAGACTATGTCTAAGGCAACACAAAACCATATAGTAAACTCAAACATGATGAAGGAGTCCCATTAGAATGACTATCTGGTTTAGTGATCAAAGAGCTCAAGTCAAACAGCCATTCAAGTTAGTAGTTCCAATGAACTCTTTAGGTAAGTTTGAAAATTGGTGTATCATGACCAAAAAGGAAGTCCCTAGTGTAGGTTTATTTATACTTTCAAAAGGCCATACATTATTCCTTAGAGAAAAAAAAAACAAAATAGATCTTCAAACCACAACATCATGACATCCCCCACCCCACCCACCCAAAAAAAAATAATTAAAAAGAGAAGACTTGTATAACAACACATTGCACCACATAGACACACATAATTTCAGTCATACCATGCTTGCCTTTAGTAAGGCACTATAAATGGATTCCAGCTCTGATCTGCGAGCATCAAACTCTTCAATCTTCTTCCATTTCTTTCTCAAAGAATCTTCAGCTTCTTTTCTCTCCGCGCACAATTTATTTAAACGTTGTATTTCAGACATCAGTGTGTTCACACTAGCTTTTAGTCCAGCTGCTTCTCTTTCCTTTGTCCAGACCTCCAACTACAAAAAGTAGAAGAAAATTGCTAGGACATCCCACACGTACAAAATCAATAAATAGGTAGTACAGGTAATTGAGCTAAGAGAAGATTATACGATCACACATGAGACCAGCATATTTGAAACTACCAAGAGAAAGCACTACACAAGTACACAAACGAAAGGAAAGTACACAATGTTTTTTTATGGTGGTGTCAGGACCAGCTTGCCAGACTACAATTTCACAGAGTGCCTGCTTACTCCCACCAATCAGGTCTTAGGTAGATGGGGAGAAGTCACAAAACATTATTTTTCGGTTATTCCTATGCTGAGAACAAAAGTACAGTGTCTTATCAATGTAAAGCAGCATTTCTTGCTGAGGAATTCCTACCAGCAGACTTTCCTGTACTCAAAGTGAATTGTCTAAGTGCTCTCCTTTGTCTCATTGTTTATCTCGTAATCATTCGATTCCGCCCCTAAAGCTAGCTCCTACTCCTCCTCCTTCTCCTTTAGGATAGGATCCTCCTTGGTCCTTTAATTGAACAGCACCAGTAGGCTGAATATCAACACACACCTTCTAGGATACTGTTCCTCCAAAAATAAATTTCCTAAACTTACCTACCTTATAAAAAAACAAAAGATAGATTCAACCTTGTAAAGTTTGTGACCTCATCTAAAAGAGTAAGCTATTAGAAAGAGCACACTTTTACTTATTTATGTCTTTAATACACTCCTTCAAGTGCGGCTCTGATTCTTTTTATGGGCAAGTATAAATTCTTTTTTGATAATGGGTGGGGATGAGACTCAAACCCAAGACTTATGTCTGCTCTAATACCATGTCGAAGTTTGTGACCATCTCATTTAAAAGCTTAAGCTATTAGAGAGAGCACACTTTTATGTCTTCAACAAATCCAAAACCTCTTCGACAAGCTTTTCAAAGAAAAAGGGAAGAATATCGTGGATAAGTTAGAATGAAAAATTTCATCCTACACTAAGACATAATCTAAACCAAGATGTGAAAGAATCTGACCAACCCAAAACCTTAAGGTTATGGATAGAGTAGCCCAAGACATCATAAACACCTTTGAAAACCCTTACTCAGTCGATGAAGAGCAAGTACTTCTTTAACATCCTCGCACACATGTGACAGGGCTTTTAGATTTACACATGAACTGATGGATTGAAGAACTGCTTTTTTCTTAGAAGTTTAAAGAGTGGATGGTAGAAAGAGATATCAAGCTCAACAGTTTTAAGAGTGGGCCTGAAGCTAAGATGAGAGTAGGTTCAACAAGCTAAGGCTGACTTGGATCAAAGCTTCTGGCTCAATGGTCTAAATTGAGAAAGAGAAGCTCAAAGCAACTCCATAGGCTGAGTTGAGAGAGAGAAGCTCAGAGCAATAGAACATGAAGAGAGAATGTGTTTGTGCATGCGGTTCACCAAGTTTAGCTCTGATACAATGCGAAAGAATCTGAGCATCCAACCCGAAACCTTAAGGCTATGGGTGGAGTAGCCCAAGATATTATAAATCACTTTGAGAACTCTGGCACAACTGATGAGAGACAAGTATTTATCTAACATTTATTTTCTCCATTTTCTATCTACCTTACAAGTCTATTACCTCACCTCCTTCGAAGTGTAAAAGTTAGCTACATACATTCTCTTGGAAGAGAAGATACATTTGCCATGAGTTTATTACAAATAAACTTGGTAAAAGATTTCACAAAACTTCTCAGTTCTAACAATAAGCTAAAATAAATGTTACCTGGATCTTCTTTCCTTAAAGATCATCAAAATGAAATGATCTAAATCATTTCTCTGGTAAGTTGTCTACTCCACGACACTCTCAGTCTCATATTTAGTGCTTAAAAGACTAACATTTAACCAGCAACATACAAGTAGCAACTACAGTAAACTAGTAGTTTTACACAAGCATAGTGTGTGTAGTAAGGGTCAGAATAGTTGTCACTCTATACAATCAAGGCTAGGTTTGGAATGGAGAACAAATAGACTACCTACATGCCCACACAACCTTATGGGACTGGAGTATGGAGGTCAGTGGATCAAGTTTGCAAACAACTGTAAAATCAAGGTGGGAAATGGGGGAAAAACACTACTTTGGGAAGATGTGTGGGTTGGACAGGAAACTTTGAAGAACAAGTATCCTGATTTGTTCAACCTGAGCCTTCAAAAGGTATCCACAATCAGAGAAATGAGAGACAATCAAGGGTGGGATCTCAGGAGACAACACTTGAACAACTGGGAAATTAACAAAGTGGCTGAACTACTCAATATTCTGGAACAATACAAAGATTTAACTCCCATCTCTCAGAGTGGTGGCTGGCCCTGGAAGATAATCTGGAAAGTCAAGGTACATTTCAAGGTTGCATGTTTCACTTGGCTACAAGCCAAACATGCCACACTCACCCAGGACAACCTTATGAATAAAAGGTCGTCAAATTTGCTTTAGGTGCTCTTTTTGTGAATGTGAGATTGAGACAATAAATCATCTCTTACTGCAATGTAGAAAGACTATGAAGTTATGGCAGATTTTCATTAATTTAAGAGGCATAAGCTGGACTATGCCAAGGAGCATCAAAGAGGCTCTAGCTTGCTGGAATAGAGATGGGAATCAGTCGGGACACGATGGAAGCTTGTCCCAGCCTGCATTTGGTGGACTATATGGATGGAAAGGAACCAGAGATGTTTCGAAAACAAGAGTTGCTCTCTGCAGAACTGTTAGTCCTTTTTTTTTTTTTTTTTTGGTGTAAACATGAATATCCTCAAGAAGAAGAGGATATTCCTAGAATTTTAGATTATTTTTGAAGCCTTAGTAGGGTCACCTCTCCCTCTGTAATTTTGTTGCAAGTATTACTGGAATGCTTTTCTGAGTATTCTTTTTGTTCATACTACAAGTTACCTTCTTCAAAAAAAATAGTTGTCACTCTATAGAGAAATGTGTGAATGAGGATACCGCAGGAAGCAAATATCAGTACAGAGGCAATTATATAACACCTCGAAAAGACAATATGATTAATATTTACATCTATAAACTTAATAAAAAAAAATACGGTAAGCCTCGTAACATTATCACAATGCAACTAATAGTTTCCCAGGCATAACTTCAGGATGTTCTCCAAAGAAATCCAGAAAGGTATAGCATCCCATTTTACCACAGGGGTCCACAGTCTAGACAGTATTTTTAAGATTTATAAGAGAAAAGCCAAACCTCAAGTTGCCTAAGGCTGCTCATACTCTTTGATGTTCCTCCAATTACTAGTGAGTGTGAAGAGATTGCATCATCAGTTCCTTGCAGACGCTTTAAAAGCTGTTGGCTCATCTTTCTCGCTTCTGCAGCTTTATTCAATGCATCTTCAGTAGCCAAGAATTGCTGAACATGTGCTTTCTGCATCGGACAAAAAAATCAGACCCTTTTAAAAATGAAAGGTCTTACAACTATAAACACAAGTGCATAACAATCGATATACAGCATCCATGTCAAGTCGACAATTGTGAAGGAAATGTAATAGACAGGAAACACTCAATTAATAACCAAGTCAAATTGAAGATCCAATTCAGGTCGAAGGGAGCAATAGTTTACAAAGAGTTCCAATAGGTTTTCAAGAAACAAAAAGCCCAAGGAACTTTGCAAAAGCAACTAGTTGAAGGTGGCAAACTATTACTCCCTCTGTCCCTAATTACTTGTCCATTTTTCCTTTTTTTGTTGTCCCTAATTACTTGTCCATTTTGACAAATCTAGAAAGGACAAAATATTTTTACCTATTATACCCTCAAATAATTACTTTGAAAAAGGTAAAACTTCTTGAAAATCTTAAGTTTTTAATTCATCCACTTCATAATTAATAGGGGTAAAATGGTAAACTCACTATGTCAATAATTGCTTTCTTAATAGGTGTGCCGATTCAAAAGTGGAAAAGTAATTAGGGACTAAGGGAGTATAAGGAATGAAATAGAAAGACCTGTCTCTCAAGAAGTTGATTTTGACTCCCTTTTGAAGACGTATCACCTCCAATTTTGCCATTGCCATAAAGTTGATAGTGTAAAGGTGATGTTACATCAGGAGAAGAAGCATCCATTACTCTGTCATTCTCGTACTTGTACCTGATTCAAAGGGAAAAATTGACATCAATGAATATGTTCATCATCATGCCACAAATATCATAAACTGAGTTCAAGCAGATATCAGAACTACCAAATGGAAGCAAAAGGCCTCCATGCCTTTCAAATTGGTTACCTTGTCAGAAATTACATGTTTTATAAAATACATAAATTGAATTAGTTTACCCTTTCATTTCATCTATCTTTCAAGTATTTGTATTGTATTATTTTGGGGTAAGACACCGGGATAGCAGTCCCCCACACCTTTCAGCTAGGTGTATATGACACTTTGGATATTGCAACTCTAAATTATTGAGTGATTAACGGATAATACAGTGGTCGATGCACTGCATCACGCAGGTCAGACGAGTGCCAACGCACAGGAGACAGGCAAGACAATGTGGAACTATGCTTCAAGACCAAATAATTGGGATCAGCTACATGAATCTTCTGTATGCAGCCTGCTCTCACGGCCATTTCACTCTAACATTAAATGTTTCATCTTGCAAGGCAAACCAGGGATTCTCTAAATTATATTTTCAAAATCTTACACTTGACCACTAACGGGTATACAAGTCTAAAAGACTCTTCACAACTCCGAACCTAATATAAGCATAAGATCAACTAAGTATAACTCTAACTAGTTTGTGTCAACTATAGTTGGTATGATACTTATCTCTGATTAGTTTGAGTTTTGATAAGTTAAAATATGACGAAGGCAACATCTGACCAATTAAACTATTGGTCATATTCCTGAAGTAGACATGTATTTCCTATAAAAACAAAATTTACCAACTCAGGTAACAACTGCAAAAAGAAACAGGAAATAGAAAAATATGAGTTATAGTAATTTTCAGTTGTTCATTAAACTGAGCAGAGAAAAGAGCAATGGAAACCAAGGTAGACGGAATCCAAAAATGATTTTTTTTAAAGATTTTTTTTGTTGTTGTTGTTGAGAAAGTTACCATATTTTTTAAAGATATTTCTAAGAAGATCAGATTACCTTAGAATCTCTGCATCAGCTCTAACGTCAACTTTCTCTATTTCTCGAGTAATTGTAGTCTTCAGCTTTTGAGCATAGGCATTGATTGCCTGTAGCAACTGGGGAGGACTTTTCAGGCAACTAACAATTGCATCTCTTACTTCATCGGGTAAATCACCATCAAGGTCAATACCCAACTTGGCAGCTTGTAACAGAGAATTCATATGGATTCCATTTCCTTCAAAAGCAGGAAAAGAGTTGCGAATCTTTTCAGCCATTTGCATAGCAAGACATTCACATGCCTTCCTGATATTTCTTTCCCATGTTGTTTCAATGAGAATGACATCCTCCACACTTTTGGTTCCTTTAAAAGTCGAATAAACATCTTTCTCATTTGCCTGAAAAGTAGTAACCACCTCAGCAGAAGAATCAACACTAGACCGCTTAACGTTCCTTGCTTGGTTAATATAATAACTTAGACGTTTATGGTACTCGGAAAATATTTTTGCAGCTTCTTCACACTGTTGATCATAAGCCTCCAGCATTACTTGTTTATGCCTGTGTTTAAAAGTATAAATATCAGCTATACTCAACGGCCCCGTGCCAACCAATCTAGACACAGTTTCTTGTTGCTTAGGGACAGAAAATACACGAGTTTAAAAATGATGAAAGGAATAATCCAACCCATGATTCCCACCATCCACACCTTCAGTGAATCAGTTGTAATACTTACAAGGTTAACTCACATTCATATCATCAGAGTGAACCCAAAATTTAGAGTCAATGAATTTGGAGTGGGTATAGACAAGGTAATATACACATTTCCTTTTTTTTCTATTTTTGGATAATCTATACATAGTCTGAGCGGGATATAGTGAGTTTAGTTAACTACTAGAAGAACTAGATTTGCCTTTGAACATTACAGGTTTTAGATGAAGAATTGAAGGAAGATTTTCTCTATACATAAGCTCATCACCAGAATCAAAATAAAGAAAAATCCAAAGTTTGTAGTTGTGAATAGATGAGAGATAATATTACAATATGCTGATTCTAATTGACAAACCTGTAGTTAGACCTCTCGTCAAGCATGCGCTTACGCTCAGCCTCCTCCCTTGAGACCTCCAACATCCTAGCCTTCAACTCTTTCCGCTGACGTCTCACTATCTGCCTAAGCCTTTCCACTTCTTTCTCTGCCAAGTCTCTTTCCTGCAAAGCAAATTCCCTACTATTCTCAGCTGAACCCAACCCCACACTCGAAGAGGATCCCGAACCACTGTCCCTAACCACCCCTACCTTCTCCTTCCTCCTCCCTTTACTCCTCCCAGAATCAACAGCATTAACATTTCCATTGCCATCATCACGTCCATGTACAAGAATATTCCGGTGGACTTTTTCAACAGTTTTCTCGGATTTCACTCTATTCAAGAGGAAATTCCAAATGGGTATCATATTACCACGGCAAATCTTGCGAAGTGAATCAATAGTAGGCATTGCTGCTTTGCTTGAAGCTGCGTATGACCCTAATGGTTGGTACCCCATCTCCTTCTGAAGCCATTCCAGTATGGCTTCTGGTTGTACCGACCCCGCCATTGACCTAGGGTTTCCAATTCTCCAATAAATAGCACTAGTTCTACTCCAGTACCCAGAATCACAAACTAGAAAATTGATAACTGATAGCCCCAAACGAACTGCTCCGAAATGGAATATATACAAATGTATCAACAGATCTGAGATTGATAATGGAGTAGAAGTAGTGTGGCCGCAAGAATCTGTAGCTCAGTGGGTATAGAATTATGTTATGAATTGGAAGAAAGATAAATTAGTGATAGTTCAAAATAGAAGGTCCCGCTCCAAAGCCATGTGCTACCAAATCATTACGCGTGTTTTGCTGCTGCCTGCTGTCCGGCCCGGAAAAACTCCCATGTACTCCATGATTTCAATTTTTTTGAAAAATATTATTTAAAATTTTAACTTAATCTTAAAATTAAAATTTCGTCTTTATAAAGCTTAATCTGTTATAAAATATTATAGTGTGGATATCCACTACACCACGAAGTTACTCTCACCCATTATTTCCATTATTTTCCTCCATTACGAAGATAATCATAACATCCACTTTTATAACTATTATTCTTGTAGTATTTCACATCCATAACCTCCCCATTATATTCATGTTTATGACTAACCTTTTGTATGCCTCTATGTTACACTATAAATAGAGGCATAAAGATTCATATTGTATGCATTTGAATACTTTGAAGAATAAGAATACTCTCATATCTTGTCTCTATATTTCTATTGTTTTCACCTTCTATATTTCTTGTTTTATTTTGCTTTAGTTTTATAATACGTTATCAGGAATTATTCAACTATTGAAGGATTGAAGCAAAGTAAATATAAAGAAGATAAAAATATTTGTGTTTATTTTTCTCTCGAAAACAAGGTAAATTACCATATAAGTTATTTTATATTTTACTTTTGATTATGCTTCATTAGTTTTCTTACCATCTCAAAATTATATAGTCCATCAGTTTGATCACTTATATATTTAAAAAGTAAAATTAATTTTGTAAGTTAATAATTTGTAAAGAAATTGTTCTTTATGATCTTGTTTTATTAAAATATAAGTTATTGAGTTATGTGGCATATACGTGGCATATACATATTGATTGGATTATCATTATTGGTTACTTTTGCACCTCTTTATTTTTCTTTATCTAAACATTTACTTATTGAGTTATTAATATATTATTTTTTCTAACAAAGTTTGTTTTGTGGTTATTTTAAAATGATTAGTAAATTATTTTAATCTTCGTAACAATATTGAGAAAGAATGTTAAAAAGTTTTAATTTATTTTAACTTGGGACTTTTATATGATTCCAACATGTTGTTATAATTAATTGATTTTGTTCATTTTTCTTGTACTTTAAGTCAAATTTAGATATATTTATGATTTACGATAATTATTTCTTTTGGTAACGTATTTGGTTTATCAAGACATTGATTGAGGGTAAGACGATGAATTCAAGTTTCACCGCACCAAGTGGGTAAGACACAAAGTTAAAGTCTCGGTGCACCATGATAATAAGAAGTTGGGTTCAAGTCCCATTAATTTATGACCAAAGACGTTTTTATATGGGTAAGACATTGTGTTTAAGTCCTAATGCACTATAGTGATGATATGATGATGACTAACATAAAGTTGTATACTTTTGACTAAAAGTCATGAAATCCACCCAATTGATTTGCTCCATTCTTATGTGAATGTGGTAGCAGTGTATAATATGTCTGAAAGATGACAAGTGATTTAATATATGAATATGGGCGTGGTAAAATGTTAATGGCCATCATTATGGTAATTAAAAGGAAGAACAATATGGGTTCTTAAGATGATCCTTCAAAATGTGAAGGTAATTTTTATCCATTAAAGTGGTATGAAAAGTTATTGGCCATATTGTTGTTGGTGCAACCCAATTTGAAAGTTTTGTAAATCCTTCATCAAAATAAAGAAATACAAAGTGGTAGTACATTTAGTACTTTTATAGTGATGTTGAGGTGGGTCAAATAAATTTGATAATGTCAAAGTATGACTAATAAAAACTTATGGAGCATGTACAAATGGTTATGGTCATTTCTTGAAGAGAATGTGACTTGTGTTCGTTTGGATAAGGACATGTTCATGTATGGTTAGATAAATGTCACATCTCACCTCTATGGGAGGTTTGAGATTTTCGACATGAATGGTCATTTTGGTCATATACTTTGAGTACTACATAAATATTGTGGTATGTTTTATTATGAATTGTTGGAGGACAAAAGAAATTAATAATTCTTTCTTATAAAGGTTGTGGCAATGATCAAAATAAATATTGTTGTGTGGCAACACAAATTTGTTATTGGTTGTCAAGAAATATGTCTTACATGAGATAATTTTAACCATGACAATAATAATAATTTTCTCCTTGAAGGAGATGGTCACCATAAGAATGGTTGTGTGAAGTTTGTGGCAGTACACAAAATTAATTGAAAGTTTCGGAAGGACTAATTTGTTACTATCCAGAAAATGAAATAGTTCATAATATTGAGGTTGTAGTAAGTCTCAAAAGAAACTTTTTAAGTTTCAGAAGAATTGAAAAGAAAAATTATTATATTGAGACTGTAAATTATTGAAAGATTAAATATCTTCAGATTACTACAATCAAAACGGGTTATGAATATTTACATAAAAGGTTATCCACCTTTCTCTTGTTTGTTGTATAAAGATATGGGCATGATGAAGGAATCACATACAAAAGTAAACTAGAAGTTTACTATAATAAATGTCAGTTGGCATAACCGGTTGACCATTCTGGTTCAGATGTGATGCAAAAGAAATTGAGAATTCACGCAACTATATGTTTGAAGAAATAAAAGATTCTTCAAGAATTCTCTTGTGTTGCTTGTTCTCCTGATAAAATGATCATTGTACCAGTTAAGGTTGGGATTGTATTCCCTGAAATTATTTGGAACATATAAAAAGGTGAATATGGGCCTGTTCACCTGCAATGTGGACGACTTACTATTATGATTTAATGGATGCATCTATGGTATGGTCACATATGCATTTGTATCAACTTACAAATTGGTTTTTGTAAGGTTGTTTGCTTAAATTGTTAAATTATGAGCACAATTCCAAACTATAAAATTATGTTGATAATACTGGTTGGTTTAGCAGAAATTGTTTGCCTCCAATTATAGCTAGACCATTGATTATGAGAACAAATCTCTCAAATAAAAGTTGGTATGAGATGAGTTTATTTAACATATATGCATCAAGCCAACAAGGTTCTCCCATCACAATTGGTTCAGGGTCAGGAACCAAATAATTTCCATCTAAAAATTTGATGTGTGCACATATGATTTTATTGCTCCACCACGCACTAAGATGGATCCCCAAATGCGGTTGAGGGTAAATGTTAGAGTTCCTAACATTAGGGGGAGATGTGTTTAGCAGCTGAAAATTGTGTGTGAGGTGAATTATCTTGATTCTCGTTAAAAAAAATGTGAACTTGATGTTCAAGAGATAATTCATTTGCAAAATGTTGCAAATAATTTGCCAGATGTATTTGCTGACCCAATATTTTAATTAAGCTACAAATGCTCCAATAAATAGTTCTTGAAGGACAGAGTCTATGGTACGCTAGAAGCGTGATAGGCCAATCGATTCCAAACGTAAAACTCCTTGAGGAAGGAGAGGAGCAAATTATCAAAATGGTCATGGTAATGAGGTAAGTGCTTTGAAAGAGCACTATGACATAACACTTCATAAAACCTTGACAAAGGTTCAGGTACCGAAAATGATGAAAAATGAAAAGATCTTGATAAGTTAAGTCAAATTGGAATCGAATTAAAATAACCGTCGACGGTATCTTTGATATGAAGTAGCACTCAATGCTATAAGTGGTTACGAGGATCTTAAATTCGAATCTGTCATATAATGTGGACAGATAAATGATTGGCCAAATAAAATGCACTATTTAAGTATATTTTGTTTCACTTAGAAACGTGATGTTTTGGAACTTATAGTTCATAGATCAAAATATATGTCAGCGGGGTACAAATGAATCATTGTGCGAAAGTACAACCGTAAGATATTGTCACGACATGGGGTTACTCCCTAGGAGCAACATGGCGTACTTGACCCCGAAAGGGATCTCATACAAGCCCTTAGCATAATCATAACATAAAGACATAGAATAATGCGAAAAAATTTAAAACTTTTACAATAGAAGTCAACTCCTTGTCATAAACGAAAATAAGAATCTAGACTTGTCTCAATCACCATTTAGTACAATAGGGAGTACAATTAGGGTCTAAGCCCTTACATCAATAAAGTCTCAAATGTAGAAAGTACAATAGAACTAGAAATAATAGAATCTTGTCCTCGAATTTGAGGACTCACCAAGCCTAGGGAATAGTCAACTCAAGCTTCACTTGAAAGAACTAGTACAAATCAACGACTGGAACCTACACTCATGGTAAAAGTAGAGAATATAGGTTAGCACAATTAATTGTACTAAGTATGGAAGCCATGCATAAAAATCCTTAAAACATGCATAAAAAGGGACATTTAGTTGAAATCATGCCTTTATCAAGTTTAAAAGCCATAATGCACATTAATGGAAAATCATAAGTCAAACCAACATATAAGCAACCCAAAGCCACAATAGTGCAATGCAATGGTAAGATCCCATAACCCTACCAAATGTCAAGTATCACATTTAGGCCACCGACAACATACATATCATACTTTACCATATTCATAACCAACATACATAAGTAAGGAGTCATTCATGTTCATAAGTGGTAATAAGTAAAGTCAACCTTAACATTCATACATACCTTGCATTCTTAATTCATAAGTCTTCATAACATAAGAGAACCTCACCATAACCCCTTTTGAAGTCTACTTGTGCAATGCATAAGTGAAGTCCCATACCCCACTCATACTAAGTAGTCCCTCTTAAGCAGTCACAATTAAAGTCCATGTTCTTATCATAGTTCATAATCATATCATATAGGGAAGAATAACATTAACCGACATAGACCATGTGAGCTGCATGGAATCTGGTGTTCTATCCCTACACCGAAAAGAGGTGTCCTACTTGCCTAAGGTAGAACGTACATTTTAGCTATTAGGTGGATCCACTAGCTAAGACCTATGGGGGGACATAGTTATGGGATATGGAGATTGCTTCTAGAAACCCTAACTACTAACGTGGAGGTTTCCATCTCATGAGACACCGTGTTGGGAACTCAACTACTAGCGTGAAGGAACCCATCTCATACTCATATCCTCTCAGTGCTAAGCATAATTCCCTTACAAGTCATATTAAGTCTTTACTTAAGTTCATATTCATAAGAGAATCCATGTCAACATATCATCATAATAGCTCATAGATTCCAT